GGGGGGGGGGGGGGAAGGGAGAGGACAAAAGGAGAAATGCCCTTCCCCTTTGTTGTTTCGGCCCTTATGTGACGGAAGCGTCGCCAGTCTCTCATCACCGTGTTGTTCTGTTGCAAGTCTTCATGTGTGGTGAATTTTAGCCTGCTCTGCTGGCACTATTTTACCCCGGAGCAGTGGTGTGTTCGGGTGGGGTTTTGAAGCTGCAGTCTTTGAAACTGATTATCGCAGCTGTCTGGTCGTAAAGAAGCCTATCCTGCTCGGCCCCGGGTTCACATGGGAGCGCGAGTCTGGGGCAGCATTCCATTTCATGCGTATGATGAAGTACCACCTCCCACTACCCTTCCATGATTCATCTGTCGGAAGCCAGCTTTGTGAGTTTCATGCCTGTTCCTCTCTTCCCAGAAAAACGCGCCCTACTCCCCTGACCATGTCGAATCTGTTCGGTGTGTTCCGCCAACCGTCTGCGACGCCCACAGATGGCCAGGGTTTGTAGAAAGGATGTGCATGACCTCTTCGGATGTCTCTGGCATCGCAACGGCTTTTGTAAAGGTAAGACAGTGACCGATTCTCCCACTGTTCAGCCGTCGATTGACGACGCTTTTGGAAATAGGTGGCTCATACCGCATGGTGCTTAGTGCTTAGTGTCGCACAAACCTTTCGGGGCAGTCAGTGGATGATTCGACAGCCAAGCCTAAGCTCAGACAAAAGGACCGAACCTATGATGTTAATTGTGCATTCGACCTTTTCTACCCTTTACAAAAATAAGCGCACCAAAGGGCACGAGATGTGCAGTGCAGTTGTCGTTGATCGGCAGTCAGCAAGCTGTTCACTCTAAGATTGCTCCCTCGCGGAGGACATTGTGACACATCTGACCACGCCACCACCATATTTACACTCGAAACGCTCAAGTTTTCTCCCGGGGGGTGGGGGGGCGTCCGTCATGTCCCCCCACATACCGGTAGGGTGCAAAGTTCGAAAGTGCTGTGGAATCTATGTTGGTTCCGCTGGTCGGGCCATTTCCCGAAAGACTCGGGGAGCTTGCCGTCCTTCTTCGAAGAAGGCAAAACGCAGTTGTATCTTCTGTAAACCCGAGTCGAGAAATTATCTTATTGAGTGCAGAGGCTCTCCTGACACCAATCACAGGATGAAGGTTGGCCCTGCAGATGTTTCGGAATGATCGACGAATGCCCCGCCGCGCCACCTTTGAGCGACTGTGAGCCTTCCACGGAATGTGTTCAGCTACCCTGCTGCATATGCATGCCTCCTGTCAAAACGATTCACCTAGGGTAGTAAGTACTTAGGGTTTGCTCTCCCCGTGGTTGGTCTGTGTGGGATGTTTGCGAGATTTCCCACAGCTCGAATATGCACGCTGTTCTTCCAACGCCTTTCTCGAGGAAGGCAACCGAAAGCAGCGACGGAAAATATTTGCAGCGAGCGGACTTTGAACACTGGCTGGACATGGGAAGCAAGCCCAAGCCGGTGGAGGAACGCCTTTTCGAAGTGTTCATCGTCAACTCAGAGGAACAGCAGGTACATCAATTCTCGGGGGGAGGGGGGCGTTTTCTTATGTTTTGCATGCCTTGGCGATTAGACCATTGACCACGCGTCCTCGAGAAGACGGAGCATTGTTCCCACAGGACCGATCACCGATGGCCAATTGTTCCTTTCTACTTTGCCAAACGTGGCTCAAAAATGTCTTCCCTAGTCTTGTCTATCCTAACGATATCCCTTCCCGCCTTTTCAACCCACTTCATATGCCCCTGTACAGCTACCGTCCTTTCCTCTCTATTCCATGCCTCAAACATCTCCCTGCACGTCCCATCTATTTTTCCCAGCTCAGTCACGTACACTTCCCTCTCCTTCTTGTACCACGGACATTCCGCGACTACATGAACACGGCCTTTGCATTCGAAGCCGCAATCACATTTGAGATCGTCGTCTTCGTCGTCTATCGTCCTATGTCTTCGTCGACGTT